TGGTGGCTGGCTGCATCGCCCTGGAGAGAGCTGCATGGCGTCTGAGCTCACTTCCTCTTCCTCCCAGCATTCTGTTCTGTTTACTCCACCCACCTATGTTCTAATCTATGAGGGCCAAGCAGTTTCTTTATTTTTTAACCAATGACCTTCCTCCATCAGGAAGTGGCCAAGGACTTCTCAAATAAAGGAAACTACTTTGTGTCTTGGTTGGTGGGTGACCAGTTCTTGGGAGTTCACTGTTTGAACTACAGGAGGGGTGGACATTATGCTCGAAGGTCACAGTTGTGTGTTACAGAGTGAGGCTGGGTATACAGTGGCCCCCAGAAACCCCAGCCAGACTGGAGAGGCAGGCACACCATGCGTTTCCTCTCAGCTTACTGCCCGTGGGGAGGGCAAGTGTTCTGCTGCTGCTGCTGCTGCTGCGGCGTCGGCGTCTGAGCTGGCACAGGTGCTCTTCTATGACCCTGCCTAGCTGCAGGTGTCTATTGGCAGCAGAGAAGTCACCAGCCTTGGGGGCAGGGCAGGCCCGCCCTTGAGTGCAGGATCCGAGCTTTGTCTGTGCTGAAAAACTAAGCCAAGTGCTTGTCAGTCGGTCGTGCAGAGGACCAGCCCCGTGGCCTCGATCAGGAATCTCAGGGTGGGGGAGAGCTGTCTGTGTGTCTAAGAAGGCAGCAAGAGCCAGCAGGGAAGGACAGCACTGGCCCCTGGAAGGAAGGAGAGCAGGATGCCAACTGTGCCCAGCCCTGCTTTGTGTTTGCTTTCTGGGGGAATGTGACGCCAGGCCAGGCTAGGCCAGGCCAGGTGTGGATCCTGCCAACCATGTGGCATGACTCCAGACTCCTTGCATTGTACTTTGTGCTGCTTTTTTTTTTGAGAAATCATTAAGTATACTATCTTAACAATATTTTATTAGTCTGAGCCCACCAAGCTCTGATCAAAAAGGACACAAAATGTGTGAGTGCATGCGCACATATGTTTTGTGTAACCAGAAACACAGTACCAACAAAATGACAGACACAACTGTTACCCTTCCCTCAGCAGAAGCAGAAGCAAGTCTGGAAGGTTCTTTCCTAACTCCAGCTTGCCTTTCCAACCTTCAGTGATAGGCACATTATTAAGATAATAGCTTTCCATTCTTTGGGAAAGAAAAGCAATTTAAATGTAAATATAGATATTCAGGTCTTGATGTAAGTAACAGACAGTATTTGGCACTGTTTTCTGGTGCAGTTAGGTCTAGGAAAGGGCAAGGCAGGCCATTCAAGGGCTGCAAGCCTGGGTGTTTGCTGTGGCTGACTGGAGACAAGAAACATAACATCCTGTTGCTGCTGGCCTGGATTTACTGTTGTCATGGTGACTGTATAATTGAGGCTGCCAGCTGGTGGAGCAGAGAGGTGTGACCTGGATCGGTGAAGATGGACAGGTGGCCATGGGGCAGGGTGTGGCATGGAGTCCAGGGTGCTTGCATTCACACATGGGATCTCTTTCATTCTCTCCTTTTCTCGGGATAGAGACAGACATGTGTAATCTTATCAGCTAATTTGTGCTTTTTAGACGCCTCTAGACCTTTAAAACAAAACCAAAAGGTTAAAGTGATTGGATGGAATGAGGTAATTTATCAAGAATATCAAAAGCTAAACATAGTCGATTTACACCTGTTATTAAAAAAAAAAGCAAAGGAAATAAAAGGGCTAGGGGTTTAACTCAGTGGTAGAGACCTACTTTGTGTTACAAGGCCCTGGTTTGATCTTCAGTACTGTAAAAAAAACAACACCACACCTACGTAGAGCAACAACAAAACAAACAACATTAGCAGGAATCTGGGAAAGGGGAGGGAGTATGAAACGGCCCCGCACCATGGGAAGTGTACGGCTGCTCATTGAACGTCAAGTATGGATATGACTTAGTGATCCTGCTTGTGGGCTTATGTCCACTGACAGCAGAGCCCTGAAGAATACATGCACACCTGTGGGCACCACGGTACTTTCCATTATATCCCCGCATGCAGAGAGGCAGAGTTTCTCCCTCAGTGGGTGGAGAAAGAAAACCTGGCTCCGTACACCGTAGGGCATCACTGACATAGGGACACTGTGCTCTGTAAAATAAGCCAGCCGCAGGAAACGACAAATGCCGTATGGTTTTACCTTCACTGGCTCCTAGAGCAACAGATTCAAAGACAGACAGCTGGGTGTTGCGAGGCGGCACCTGCAGATGAGGGTTGGGGAGTTTTAATTGGTGAGGGGCCTCAGTTTAGGAGATGAGAAAGTTCTAGAGGTGGTGTGTTGATGACTATACAGCAGTGGTGTTCTTCATGCCACTGAGCTACACACCTGAAAATGGCTGGGATGGCAGACTTCACCGTAGGAGTATATGATTACCATTGGGTATGCTAGTTTTTTATTGCCTTGGCAAAATAATAGGAAAAGAAACTTAAAAGGAGGAAAACATTATTTTGCCTTGGGGTTTTAGGGGTTTGGGGCTATGAAAGTGGTTCTCAACCTGTGGGTCACAACTCCTTTGACAAGCCTGTATCTCCAAATATATTTGCATTACAATTCATAGCAGAAGCAAAACTGCAGTTCTGAAGCAGCAATGAGAGTAATTTTATGGCTGCGGTCACCACAACATGAGGAACTCCACGAAGGAGCTGACGCAGGGGAAAGGTTGAGAACCATTCCTCCGTGCTCAGCTGTCTCTACTCCCTTAGACACAGGAGGACAGACAGGAAGATCAAGAAGGCACAAAATAGTAGAGCTGTCCACCTCACGACAGAGGGGAAGCTGAGGGACAGGATAGGAGCCGGGGACAAGGTGTACACTTCAAAAACTGCCTTCTTCCTCTTACTAAGAGAGAGGCCTTCTTCCTCTCTCTAAGAGAGAGACCTTCTTCCTCTCACTAAGAGAGAGACCTTCTTCCTCTCACTAAGAGAGAGACCTTCTTCCTCTCACTAAGAGAGAGACCTTCTTCCTCTCACTAAGAGAGAGACCTTCTTCCTCTCACTAAGAGAGAGACCTTCTTCCTCTCACTAAGAGTGAGACCTTCTTCCTCTCACTAAGAGAGAGACCTTCTTCCTCTCACTAAGAGTGAGACCTTCTTCCTCTCACTAAGAGAGAGACCTTCTTCTTCTCACTAAGAGAGAGACGTTCTTCTTCTCACTAAGAGAGAGACGTTCTTCTTCTCACTAAGAGAGAGACCTTCTTCCTCTCACTAAGAGAGAGACCTTCTTCCTCTCACTAAGAGAGACCTTCTTCCTCTCACTAAGAGAGAGACCTTCTTCCTCTCACTAAGAGAGAGACCTTCTTCTCACTAAGAGAGAGACCTTCTTCTTCTCACTAAGAGAGAGACCTTCTTCTTCTCACTAAGAGAGAGACCTTCTTCCTCTCACTAAGCCCCACATTTCCATTTCTACCACCTCTCTATAGTACCACAAAATTATGAATACATTCATTGACCAACCCATTGATTAGGTCAGAGTACTCAGGATCCAACCATTTCTTAGTGGGGACAGGCCTAACCACACAAGTGTTTTCGTTGACACTTACCACAGCCACAATATCCCACAATCAAAAGCTTAAAAATGTAAACTCTGAAACAGTATTTGGTCATTAGAGGAAAAGCTGTATGTGTTCTGAGTATTTTGCCATCCTGGTATGGGCTGAAGAAAATAGAGTTTATAATAGTCACATGGGATTCCTGTGTGTGAGAAAAATCTGCTTCAAAACGTTTGGATTAGACTTTCTTCCAGAACTAGTAACCCTGAATGTCAAAAGCTAGACAATAAGTCCTAAAAAAGAAATTTCAGTGAATGAGAAAGAACTAAAGCAAATTTGCAAAGATTTGAAATAATGCTTATGATACACCATTGGTCAGTGGTTCATGGAGGTGTCTCTCTGGGCTCCACAAGTCCCAGCCTGTAATCTGACTCACAAGACAGACAACCCGAAGTATTAAAGGAAGCTTCCAGCACGGATAACCCTTTGCAGTGATAACTATGTGCATTCTAGACACAGCAGATGTATCATCAATATTGAAATAAGAATGCTTTAAAAAGTTTATTGTTAATTTACATGTGCTTGCATGTATGTCTGTGCAATGCGTATGTGTGTTACTCACAGAAGCCTGCAGGGAGCATTAGATCCCCTAGGGCTTGAATTACAGATAGTGAGAGCCACCATGTGGGTGCTGGGAACCAAAATTGGTCCTCTGGAAGAGCAGTCAGTGCTTTTAACCACTTGGTCACCTCTCCAGCCCCAGGGAGTGCTTTTATAATTGTGTTGTTAGCTACTTCTCTTGTTGCTCTTCCCAAACACATTACTAGAAGCGATTTTGGCGAGAAACTGTTTACTATGTGTGGCTTACAATTTAAAATAGAGCCCATTATGGTGGGGAAGGTGCAGAACCAGGAGCATGAGATGAGATGGCTGCTCCCTGTTCCTAGGTATGGAGCTGCCCGAAGTTAGAGGTAACTTCCGCCTTAGTTAACTTAATCTGAAAACTCCATTATAGACATTACAAACAGGCCCAGAGGTCTGCTCTTTGGCTCATCTAGACCTGATTAAGTTGGCAGGCAGTATTAGCCATGCACTTTTGTTTTATTCATGATTCAAATATTGAGCAGACATTAGAAAGCGAGCGTGGAGACCATTAAAAGCACCGAGTTGTGAGAGGAGAACCCATTTGATATGGGGACGGCTATGCAGACAGGAAGGGAAGGGCTCAAAGGCACGTGCCAAGCTATGACTCCTCATCTGGGCCGTCACTCTACTTTTCTTATTTTTTTTCTGTTTTTCAAATGTTTTCTTACAAACATCTTTATTGATATGGTATTTTAAATACTAAGAAGGACAATTGTGATAAAATTAGATGGGGCCCATTCAGTGCTCTTTGAGCCTGCTAGCTTTTAACGACTTAATAGCCGAGTATTTAAAATAAAACAAAAGTTAATAATATGTGGTTCTACTTTATGGGTCAGTACCTGACCAGTGAGCACTTATTATAGCCCTGTGCTCACGTTGGCAGCACACATACTAAAGTTGGATCAGTACAGAGAAGATTACCATAGCTCCTGTGCTAACACGTAAATTCATGAAGCATTCCATATTTAAAAAATAGAACAGAAAACAGCCACCTCCTCCTAGTGGCCCTGTGCCACACAGGTGCTGGAAGTGCTGGCTTGCCAGGTATGGCGAACTTAGGAAAATTCCCCCCGAAGATCACATTGACCGTGGCGCCATGCCTGACTTTGTTGTCATTTGTATCCTGCTCTCAGCAAACAGGGAGGGTCCTCTGCTGAAGGGATTTAATGAAGGAAGAGGAGAAAGGCTGAGTGAGTCATCTCGGGAGTGTGACAGGAGAGTGGGACCTAGAAAAGCTTCATCAAGATTAATGCGCCTGCGCAAGAGTAAGAAGCCAGCTAGCAGGGAAACACTGGAAACCCTTCTCGACCCTGGCATCATTTGACAAACAGAGCATGTGCTAAACGGAGCCCTGGAAATCCAAATGGGATGGAGGGGGGACTATAGAAGAACATGTACTGTATGGCTGTGATCTTTGGGGGCTCACTAGTCTTCTTCCAATCTTCAGGTGCTCTTTTTCCTTCTGAGTAAGCTATTTCTATTCCAGGGCTAACTGAAAGGGGATGCTCTCCCCATCTCCCCTACTGGCTGCTGTACAATTTCTACCTCAACTCTGCTGTGTTTTCTCTCAAACTCTAATAAAATTGTTCATGAACTTCCTTCTGCGTCCATTCTTCTTTGATTGATTTTTTTTATTGAGCTCTACATTTTTCTCTGCTCACCTTCCTGTCTTTCCCCTCCCTTCGACCTTCCCCCAAGGTCCCCAAGCTCCCAATTTACTCAGGAGATATTTTTCTACTTCCCATGTAGATTAGATCTATGAAAATCTCTCTTAGGGTCCTCTAAGTTCTCTGGGATTGTGATTTGTGGCTGGTTTTCTTTGTTTTATGTTTAAAAACCACTTATGAGTGAGTACATGTGATAATTGTCTTTCTGTGTCTGGGATACCTCACTCAAAATGATGTTTTTTTTTTTAGCTCCATCCATTTGCCTGCAAAATTCAAGATGTCGTTATTTTTTTTCTGCTGTGTAGTACTCCATTGTGTAAATGTACCACATCTCCCTTACCCATTCTTCGGTCGAGGGGCATTTAGGTTGTTTCCAGGTTCTGGCTATGACAAACAAAGCTGCTATGAATGTAGTTGAGCACATGTCCTTGTGGAACGATTGAGCATCCTTTGGATATATACCCAAAAGTGGTATTACTGGGTCTTAATTTTCAGAGAAATCGCCACAGTGACATCCAAAGGGGCTGTACCAGCTTGCACTCCCACCAGCAATGCTGGAGTGTTCTCTTTACCCCACAAGGGCTCCAGCATAAGTTGTCATCAGTGTCTTTGATCTTGGTCTAAGATTGCTGTTTCTATTTCTTCAGCAGTTATAGGTCTGTTTAATTTGCTTATCTGGTCTTGATTTAATTTCGGTAAGTGATATTTATCCAGAAAGCTGTCCATTTCTTTTAAGTTTTCTAATTTTGTAGAGTACAGGTTTTCGAAATATGACCTGATGATTCTCTGGATTTCCTCCATGTCTGTTGTTATGTCTCCCTTTTCATTTCTGATTTTGTTAATTTGGATATTCTCTCTCTGCCTTTTGGTTAGTTTGGTTAGTTTGTCTATTTTGTTGATTTTCTCAAAGAACTAACTCTTTGTCTTATTGATTCTTTGAATTATTTTTTTTTGTTTCTATTTTGTTGATTTCAGCTCTCAATTTGATTATTTCCTGCCGTCTAGGTCTCTTAGGTGAGTTTGCTTCTTTTTGTTCTAAAGTGTTGAAATGGTCTGTTAATTCACTAGTGTGGGATTTTTCTAGTTTCTTTATGTAATCATTTATTGCTATGAACTTTCCTCTTAACATTGCTTTCATTGTGTCCCATAAATTTGGGTATGTTGTGTGGCCATTTTAATTGAATTTTAGGAAATCTTTAATTTCTCCCTTTATTTCTTCCTTGACCCATTGACTATTTAGGTGGGCATTGTTTAATTTCCATGTGTTTGTGGGTTTTCTGGAATTAGTATTGCTGTTGACTCTAGTTTTAATCCATGGGGTTATCCCAATTTTTTTGTATTTGTTGAGGTTTGTTTTGTTACTGAGTATGTGGTCAATTTTTGAGAACGTTCCATGAGGTGCTGAAAAGAAGGTATATTCTTTTTTGTTTGGGTGGAATATTCTATAGATGTCTGCTAAGTCCATTTGAGTCATAACATCTGTTAGTTCCCTTATTTCTCTGTTCAGTTTTTGTCTGACTGACCTGTCCACTGGTAAGAGGGGAGTGTTGAAGTCTCCCACTATTACTGTGTGGGGTTTAATGTATGATTTAAGCTTTAGAAGTATTTCTTTTACATATGAGGGTGCCCTTGTATTTGGGGCATAGATGTTCAGTATTGAGATTTTTCTCTTGATGAATTTTTCCTGTGACTAATAGGAAATGTCCTTCTTTGTCTCTTTTGATTGATTTTAGTTTGAAGTCTATTTTGTTAGATATTAGGATAGCTACACTCACCTGTTTCTTAGGTCCATTTTATTGGAATATTTTTCCCAACCCTTTACTATGAGACGATGTCTATCTTTGAGGCTGAGGTGTGTTTCTTGTGTGCTGAAGAAGGATGGGGTTCAGTTTTCATATCCAATCTGTTAGCCTGTGCCTTTTTATAGGTGAGTTGAGTCCATTTATATTAATGGATAATAATGACCAGTGATTGCTATCTCCTGTTAATTTAGTTTTCATTGTTGGTGATGTTAATTTGGGCATTTTCCCCTTTTTTGGGATTTGCTGCTATGAGACCATCAATTGTCTGTGTTTTTGTTGGGTTGGAGTTTTCCTTCTAGTATTTTGGGTAGGGCTGAGTTTGTGGCTAGGTATTGATTAAATCTGGTTTTGTCATGGAATATCTTGTTTTGTCCTTCTATAGTGATTGAAATTTTTGTTGGGTGTAGTAGTCTGGGCTGGCATCTGTGGTCTCTTAATGTCTTCACAATACTTAACCATGACCTTCTGGCTTTCATTGTCTCCAACGAAAAGTCAGGTATGAAGAATCCGAAGATAGGTCTACCTTTATATGTTACTTGACTGTTTTTCTTTGTAGCTCATAATATTCTTTCTTTACTCTGTATGTTCTGTGTTTTGATTATTATGTGTCTAGGGGACTTTTTTTTTATCCAGTCTATTTGATGTCTGTAAGCTTGTTGTATCTTTATAGGCATATGTTTCTTTAGGTTGGGAAAGTTTTCTTCTATGATTTTGTTAAATATATTTTCCATGTTTTGAGTTGAACTTCTCCTTCTTCTATACCTATTATTCTTAGGTTTGGCCTTTTCATGGTGTTCCATGTTTCCTGGATATTTTGAGTTAAGCTTTTGTTAGATTTAATGTTTTCTTTGACTGATGAGTCTATTTCCTCTATTGTATCTTCAGCGCTTGAGATTTTCTCTTCCATCTCTTGTATTCTGCTGTTCATGCTTGCGTTTGTGGTTCCTGATTGTTTTCTCACGATTTCTGTTTCTATAATTCCCTCATCTTGTGTTTTCTTTATTGTCTATATTTCAGTTTTCAAGTTTTGAATAGTTTCTTTCATATGTTTGATTGCTTTTTTTTTGTTTTCTTTAAGGGATTTGCTGATGTCTTCCAATCTTTTGTTTGTCTTTTCCTCCATTTCTTTGAGGGAATTTCTCATTTCCTCTTTAAGAGTTTCAAACATTCTCCTGAAGTTATTTTTTAGGTCATTTTCTTCTGCTTCATCTATATTTGGTTGTTCAAGTCTTGCTGTTGTAGGGTCTTTAGGTTTTACTGGTGTCGTTTTGCTCTTTGTGGTGTTGTGTGTGTTCTTACATTTTCTACTCATCTTTTCCCCTAATAGGTGTGGTTGGTGCTGTCTGTGATTCTGTTGATTAATCTTCCAAGACTCAGATGGTTGTTCCTCATGTTACAGCATGTGCCATAGTTCTAGTTACCCCTTTGGTCACTCTGTGTTCCTGGAGGTTACTCAGTGCTTTTGGCTTTGCTCCACTCTCTTGGAGTTTGCTGTCCCAGGCCTGCTCTCGCCTAGGTTGTCTGCTCAGACCTGTTTTCTGTAAATGTCCCTGGTCTGGATCTATTTGTGCAGAGGTCCCTGGCTTGGGGTTGGTCCTGTAAAGAACTCTGGCTCTGGTCTACTCCCTTGGAGTTTCCAGGCTCAGATGTGCCGAGACCTGCAGAGGACTTGGCTCAGGCTTACTCTGTCAGAGGTCCCAGACTCACGCCTGGACCAGCAGAGGTCTCTGGTTCCTGCCTACTCCCTCGGAGGTCCTAGACTCATGCCTAGACCCACAGGAGTCCTGGCTTAGGTCTACTCCCTTGAAGGTCCCATATTTCTGTTCAGATCCTTAGTGGTCTCTGGTTCTGGCTCTCTCGCTCAGCGGTTGCTTCCTTATACTTGTTCTGGTGGAGTTTGCTTTCAGGTCTGCTCTGGCCCAGGTTGATGGCTCAATCCTCCTGAGTCCATTCTAAAATTCTTTTGTTGTTCCCAAGTTGAGAGACCTCCTACCCCCCAGAAAGACCACCGGAATCCAGTCAGGTCCAGAATGCAAAAGCAAGGTTTAATTCTTATACTACCTAGCTTGGATTGGTTCCCAAATGTGATGCAGGAGAGCTCCCGTTCCTTATTTGCGGTTGTATGTATATACAAAAACTGCAAGCCAGGTTTACTTAGGATTAAGGAAGTTGGTTTTGCTGAGTACAGGGTATGGACCACTTCTGCTCCTGTGCATGCCCCCTACCCTCACCCCAAGCAGTTATTTCTGCTCTTTTCTAGACCACAAAGCTGGGTGTTAAGAGGGACAGTTGGTCTGCACTTTTGCAAAGGTCCCTGGTTCCAGCCAACTCTTGATGCTGCAAAGAGCTCAAAGCCAGTATCTTAACTAGTTCCTGACAGGCAAAGCTTTTTAAAATTTTTTTATGTCCTTATACTTTTATGAATGAGACACAGCATTTCCCTGGAAACAGAAATGTTTGTGTACCTAGGTAGAAGAAATTATTAATTTGTCATTGTTGA